CTAAGGATCCAAATAGCCCAACGTACTCGTAGGTACCGTTTATGGACGTTGGGGCCCAAAGCAGGCATTATTTTGCAGACTAGGTTCCCCTGTAACGTTTGCATAATCCTTTGCCCCTCATATTGAAGAGCTCCCCCCCTAATGTATATACGCCGAACCATATTTAATATTGGGGTGGGCGGGGCATTTATCGCCCGAACATTAGCAAGGGGGTACATAACAGGATCCTATTGGATTCTAACTACAGTGGTTTTAATGGAATACAGCAGCCGCTTAAGTCTAATCAAAACTGTCATAAAGTCGTAGTAAAACCATGATAAAGCCATGTAAGAACATCACAATCTACTGAAACCTGATGAAAGTCTACATAAAACCAATTTCAACTCGATTTCAAAACGTAAGCAAACCCATCAAAACCAATTGAAATTCAACTCAAACTCAATTACAAACTGATCAAAGACGCTGCTTTAAATCGCGACAAATCCAATTAATATCGAATTCAGATTATGTATAAAATCTGTACGAATCCGTGCAAAAACAATAAGGTTGTAGGAAATCAAGAAGATCCCTAATGCTTAGGGGTCGCGCTAGGGACCTCCCGAATTCAGAGGATCCGAGGCATAATTAGCTTTTGTCTTGGCCCTTTTACAATAGTCTTGCGGACAGATTTCAGAATTTGGAAGCTGTTTACCATCAGTCAGCTACTGGATGGCCCTCCGAAACTCTCAACCCTTAGCTGAACCCTGAACCCTAAACGCGCGCTGGCCAGGAGTCGCCCGAGTACATGGAGCTCCTTGACCGGCTCTTCGATTCTGGGCTTGAGCCGGGTGCTTCGCGCTAATAAGCGGTGGGAAATACAACAGGGGTATACAGGGGTACATAGGGAAAATGGAGATTCAAAAGGGAAAGAACACGGAACATTGATTGGAAGCTGAAATGACATCGGGGTTTAGCTGTTCAGGCTTCTGCATTAGTATCACCCTGGGAACAGCAATGTTAAGCTTAAGGTATAGGTTTTCGTGGTTGGTAGAGGGTTTAGGGTTT